CAGCAATCCCACTTCTGGGTATACATCCAAAGGAAATAAAATCAGTATCTAGAAGGGACATTTGCACTCCTGTGTTCACTGCAGCATTATCCACAATAGACAAGGTATAGAAAAAACCTAAGTATCTATCAACAGATGAATGGATAAAGAAAATGTGTGGTATATATACAATGGGATATTATTCGGCCTTAAAAAAGAAGGAAATCCTGCCACTTGCAACAACATGGATGAACCTGGAGGACATTATATCAAGTAAAATAAGCCTGACACAGAAAGACAAATATTGCATGATATCACTTACATGTGGCATCTAAAAAAGTCAAACTAATAGAAGCAGAGAGTAGAATGGTGGTTGCCAGGGGCTGGAGGGTAGGAGAAATGGGGAGATGTTAGTCAAAGAGTACAAAGTTTTGGTTATGCAGGATGAGTAAGTTCTGGAGATCTCATGTGTAGCATGGTGACTGTAGTTAATAATACTGTATCGTCGGCCAGCCCCGTGGCTTAGTGGTTAAGTGCTCGCACTCCAATGCTGGCAGCCCGGGTTCGGATCCCGGGCGCGCAACGACACACCGCTTCTCCAGCCATGCTAAGGCCGCGTCCCACATACAGCAACTAGAAAAGGATGTGCAACTATGACATACAACTATCTACTGGGGCTTTGGGGGAAAAATAAATAAATAAATAAAAATTATTAAAAAAAAATACTGTATCGTATACTTGAAATTTTCTGAGAGTCGACCTTAAGTGTTCTCACCACAAAAAAAAAAAAAGCAACTATGTCAGATGGCTGAAACCTTAATTACTTTCATTGTGGTAATCATTTCACAACGTATATGTATATAATAACATCATATTGCACAACTTAAACACATATAATTTTTATTTGTCAATTATACCTCAATACAGCTAGAAATTTTAATTGATTGATTGATTTTTATGGGAAAGAAAACTACAGATCAACATCCCTGATGAATATTGATGCAAAAATCCTCAACAAAATAATAACAAACCAAATTAAGCAGCATATTAAAAGGATTATGCATCATGACTAAGCAGGATTTATTCCTGGAAGGCAAGAATGGTTCAATAGATAAAAATCAATCAATATGATACACCATATTAACAGAAGGAAGTACACAAACCACAGGATCATCTCCACAGAGGCAGAAAAGCATTTGACCAGAGTCAACATCTTTTCATGATAAAAACCACTCAACAAACTATGAACAGAAGGAAACTACCTGAACATAATAAAGGCCATATATGACAAGCCCACAGCTACCATCATACTCAGTGGTGAAAGACTGAAAGTTGTTCCTCTAAGAACAGGAGTACAACAAGGATGCCCACTCTCACCACTTCTACTCAACATAGTATTGGAGATTGTAGTCAGAACAATTAGGCAAGAAAAAGAAATAAAAAGCATCCAAATTGGAAAGAAGTAAAATTATCTCTATTTGCAGATGACATGATCCTATATGTAGAAAATTCTAAAGATTACACACACACATGCACACACACACATATATACAGCTGTTGGAACTAATAAATGAATTCAGCAAAGTGGCAGCATATAAACTTAACATGAAAAAAATCAGTTGCCAATAAAACTGGAAAAAAATAAAATTTAAAAATTTTTAAAATCAGAAATAAATCAGGGCCAGCCCCGTGGCTTAGCGGTTAGGTGCGCGCGCTCCGCTGCTGGCGGCCCGGGTTCAGATCCCGGGCGCGCACCGACGCACCGCTTCTCCAGCCATGCTGAGGCCACGTCCCACATACAGCAGCTGGATGGATGTGCAGCTATGACATGCAACTATCTACTGGGGCTTTGGGGGGGGGAAATAAATAAATAAAATCTTTAAAAAAAAAATAAAAACAAAAAAAGAAAATAAATAAATAAATAAAAAAAAAAAAGAAAGAAATCAGAGGCTGGCCCCATGGCGTAGCGGTTAAGTTTAGCATGCTCCGCTTTGGCGGTCTGGGTTCGTGGGTTTGGATCCCAGGCATGGACCTACAGCATTCGTCAGCCATGCTATGGCAGTGACCCACATACAAAATAGAGGAAGATTGGCACAGACGTTAGTTCAGGGCTAATCTTCTTCAAGCAAAAAAAAAAAAAAGAGGAGGATTGGCAACGGATGTTAGCTCAGGGCTAATCTTCTTCAGCAAAAACTAAAAATTAAAATAAATAAATAAATAAATCAGTGTGTTTCTACACACTAACAATGAACAATCCAAAAAGGATATTAAGAAAACAATTCCATTTACAATATGTCAAAAAGAATAAAGTACTTAGGAATAAACTTAACCAAGGAGGTGAAACTTGTACACTGAAAACTACTACACATTGCTGAAAGAAATTAAAGAAGACACAAATCCATGGAAAGATCCCATATTCATGGATTGAAAGACAATATTGTTAAGATGTCCAACTACTCAAAGCCATCTACAGATTCAATATAATCGCTATCAAAATTCCAACGGTATCTTTTGCAGAAAAAGAAAAATTCACAGGAAATCTCAAGGGACCTTGAATACCCAAAAAAATTTTGAAAAAGAACAAAGTTGGAGGACTCACACTTCCTGATTTCAAAATATATTACAAATCTACAGTAACCAAAACAATGTGGTACTGGCATAAAGCCAGACAAACAGCCAATGGACCAGAATAGAGAGCCCAGAAATAAACCCTCACATATTTGGTCAAATGATCTTTGACAAAGGTGCCAAGACCACTCAATGGAGAAAGGACAGTCTCTTCAACAATGGCGTTGGGGGGCTGGCCCGGTGGTGTAGTGGTTAAGTTCACGCGCTCCCCTTCAGCGGCCCGGGGTTTGTGGGTTCAGATCCCCGGTGCACACGACGCACCGCTTGTCAGGCCGTGCTGTGGCCTGACATAAAGTGTCTTTATGTGGCATCCCACATAAAGTAGAGGACGATGGGCACGGATGTTAGCCCAGGACCAGTCTTCCTCAGCAAAAAGAGGAGGATTGGCATGGATGTTAGCTCAGGGCTAATCTTCCTCACAAAAAAAAAAACAATGGCGCTGGGAAAACTGGGTAACCACACGCAAAAGCAGCAGCTGGACACCACACGCAGAAACTCAACATGGATTAAACATTTAAACGTTACACTCAAAACTATGAGTTTCTTCTAGGAAACTTCCACGTTTCCCAGAAAAAACATGGAGGAAAAACTCCACGACACTGGACTTGGCAATGATTTCTTAGCTATGAAACCAAAAGAACAAGCAACAAAAGAAAAAAGACAAATGAGACTGCATTAAACTTAAAACTTTTGTGCATCAGTCACCAGAATGAAAAGACAACCTACAGAGTGGGAGAAAATATTTGCAAATCATATATATTATAGACGGTTGATATTCAGAATATATAAGGAACTCCTACAACTCAACAACAAAAAATCAAATAACCAGATTAAAAAATGGGCAAAGGACTTGGAGACATTTTCCCAAAGATGATATACAAATGGCCAACAAGCATATGAACAGATGCCCAACATTACTAATCATCAGGGAAATGCAAATCAAAACCAGAATGAGATACCACCTCACACCCACTAGGATGGCTCCTATCAAACAAGAAGAAAATAACAAGTGTTAGCGAGGATGTGGAGAAGTTGGAACCCTTGTGCACTGTTGGTGGGAATGTAAAATGTCACAGCAACTGTGGAAAACAGTATGGAGATTCCTCAAAAAATTAAAAACAGAACTATCATATGATCCAGCATTCCCACTTCTGGGTATGTACCGAAAAGAATTGAAAAAAGGACCCAAAAGAATTGAAAAAAGGGTTGCTAAGAAATATTTGCACACCCATGTTCATAACAGCACTATTCACAATAGCCAAGAGGCAGAAGAAACCTAAGTGTCCACAGATGGATGAATGGATAAACAAATTGTGATACATACATACAATGGAATACTGTTCAGTCTTAAAAAGGAAGGAAATCCTGTCACATGCTACAATATGGTTGAACCTGGAGGACATTATGCTAAGTGAAATAAGCCAGTCACAGAAGAAATACTGTGTAATTCCACTTATATGAGGTATTTAAAGTAGTCAAATTCATAGAAACAGAAAGTAGAATGGTGGTTACCAAGGGCTGAGGGAGGGGAAGAAGCGAGTTGTTGTTTAATGGGTATAGAGTTTCAGATTTGCAAGATGAAAAAGTTTTGGAGATCTGCTGCACAACAATGTTAATATACTTAACTTTACCGATGTGTACACTTAAAAAAGGTTAAGAAGGTAAATTTATAACATGTGATTTTTACCGCCATTTTAAAGAAAGCAGCAGCAGCTGAAGAGGAAAGGGACTGATTCCCCTCTAGAGCCTGAGGAGGGCTAGGAGTGTGGCCCTTGATTTTGGTCCAGTGAAACTGATCTGGGACTTCTGGCCTCCAATTCATTTCTGTTGTTTTAGGCCACCAAGTTTGTGGTAATTTTTTATAGCAGCCACAGGAAACTAACATAGTGAATAAATGATTAACTCTAATGTCAGGTGAATCAGTGTTATGAGGATTTAAAGCCAGAGAAGGAGGCAGAGAGTGACAAAGAGTGTTAAGTTACATGGGACGGTTGGGACACCTGACCTCAGCTCAAAGACCCTGTGATGAGCACATGCTCGGGAAGTTAGAGCAGCAGAGAGGTGAACCGTGGTGAACAAGGGTGAGGGAGGAGAGAAGAAATAAGGGCAAAGAAGTAGCCAGGGGGCAGGTTGAAGTAAAGGCTTTGGGCTTGAAAGCAAGGAAATGTCACACTTTGACCCACGTGTTCAGAGGCTCTGAAGGGTAACACAGGGACATGACTCGGGGGCTGTTGCCCCGTATGCCCAGCTGGACCAGGGAGGAGGGAGAAGTGCTGGACTTCTGGATATACTTTGTAGAGAGAGCCAGTAGGGTTGCTGACGGATCGGATGCCAGGAGTAGGGAGAGGGGATGAGGGGTCCAGGACGCCTGCAAGTGTGGCCTGAACCACCAGATGACGGCGGTGCCACTGACCAAGACGAGCAACCCTGCAGAGGAGCAGCTCCGGGCACAGTTTAAGAGATCTGGCCTGGACGCATTACGTTTGAAGCGCCCATCTGCCATCCAAGTGAAGGTGCCAAGTAGACATTTGGGTCCTTGTGTCTGCGATTCAAGGAGAAGGCTGAGGAGTCACCAGAGCGGACAAGGAGCGGCAGGCGGGGCCTGACAGCCGGGATCCGTGATGCCAGGTCTCTTTCTGTCCCTAGGCGAGAACAGCTCAGGCTCTGGACCCTGCCCTACGTAACAGTCTTGGGCTCATCCTGTGACACTGTCCCCACAGACCCTCTTGTCACCAACTTGTGTTCAGCCAGGCACCATCTTGGCAAGTTCAGACAAATACTAATCACTGACCTGGGGTAACAAGCCTTTCCCACAGGGCTCTCCAACCCCTGTCTAGAAAACTTTTATCATTAACCCCATCAGTAAAATATTTTTCAGCAGACATCATATATGTATTTGCCACTTGGATGATAAATGGGCACCTAAAACTTAACACATCCAAGCCAGAGCTCTTAATTTGCACTCACATTAAGATTTGTGCCCTAACACACACACATCAACGTTAACTTATAAACTATATACATACCTACTCGACAACACAAATAATAAAATATGTTCGTTATATGACAATGCAAAAACAGAGTTTAAGAAGAGTGCTCTAAAGATGCGATAAACAATATTTGAATGATTTTATTTATTAAAAGTACAAGATTCCTTTTTTTGCTTTCAGGTAAAAAAAGACTTAGTACCATGTGTGAGCAATATGGCTGGATCCGGCAGACCGGACGGGCTGGTCATGGGCCCCGGGGAAATGTGGCTGACAGGGAGCTCCTGCCAGAGACTGGGGCGCCAGCTCTGTCTTTTCCCTCCTCTTGCACTATCAGTACCGCCTTCAATCTCTTTTCAAGAATCTTTTGCAGCAATGAGTCCATTCTGTGAGGGTTAGTTTTGTTAAAACTGGGTAATACCATTCAGCTAACGGGGCACAGGCCCACAGCCCCTCCAGGTCCAATCTGCAGCCCTCTCCTAAGCCCTGCTACCCTGGGGTGCAACTGTTGCCACCCCGAGACTGTGCCTGTCCTCGTGGGGTTCCCTTAACCCACCCAGTCCCTTTTAAAATCCCCTTTATTAAACCCTCCTCAACAACCCCCCCTGAGCACTCCTCTGTCTCCTGCCAGATCTATACCCCAGAGTAAAGCAACAAACAAGCAGACACGTTGCTGGACAGCCTCTGAGGACCTCAGTGCCTCCTTGGGACACTTTACTGCAAGTGCCTGGGACCATCGGATAATAGACAAAGCGAGGGCACCAGCGTCAATCTGAATATTAAGTATTTAAAAAGCCTAGCTTCTTATTAGAAACGAAAATTCCAGTATTTTGTTCCCTCTCCCAGGTAATTATTTTGCACCCAGGGGTGACGCTGGCAGCAAGGCCCGGCTAGAGAAGTCGACGCAAACGTGACGGCTGGAGCTGGAGTCTGCGCAGCTCTGCCCTGTTCACCCGGCGCACTTGGGCTCGCGGCTCAACCTCTCTGCTCAGAGCTCACCAGGCAGTGGGATGAAGTGGGAGGGCACCTCTGGGGACATAGGGTCGCCTCTTGCCCAGGTCCAGCATTCTAGGACTCTACTTCTCAGCAGGGTGCTCACCCTTCCAGTGCTGGCGTGGGCACCTGTGCTAGGGGGCCAGCCGAAGGCCTCTGGCCACCTCACTCAGCCAAAACCCTGTTCAGCTGTGCGCCCTCCTGAACCCTGGGCAGGGCAGCGCCAGCTCCAGGTCTCCAGGACTGTGACGAGCAAGCCCCTGAGCTCGTCTGTCACAGGCTGGCAGAGGTTCACTCCTCCCCCGGGGTCCTGCTCTTCGAGCGCCCTGCCTAGCCGGGGAGGGCCTGGGACGTGGGCCCTCGCCGGGGCCTGCCCTCACCGCAGGCCTCAGAGAGGGAGAGGACCCGGCCGGCGCCCCTCCCCAAGGCGACCCCCTGGGTCCGCTGGGCCCACAACGCCTCCTCCAGCTCGGGTCCGGTTCTGGGCCTGCAGCTGGCTGGAGTCAGAAGGGCTCCCCGATGAGAGACTGCGGACCCTTCTCTGGGTTTCTGCATCGCCCCGGGCTGCCGCATCAGAGCACGCAGCCCTCCCGTGCCGCCGCAGCGTCGGTTCACGCGTCTCCGCCCCGCGGGGCGCGGCTCGGAGAAGGATGAATG